TCTGAAGAAAAAAATCTATTATATTTGCAAATTGACCTAAACTCTAAATATTAAAACTATATAAATTTATCGTTAATAAAGATTTATTCTGTACACATTATTATTTTCGTCATTATCAATAGTTCTATAAGATACTGAAGAAAGCAATAAGACATATAAATTCTGCAATTTCTGAAAAATATATCAAAATATATTTTATTTGGTATTATATCAAGGCTTCGAGAACAGTAGGCTAATTGTTTTGGACTAGGGGATATATACTGAAAATTAGATACAGTGAAAGCTTTAATGGATAAAAAAAATTAAATAAAACACTTCAAATAATAACATCAGTTTTTTATTTTGAAATTTATACATTTATTTTGTATCACTTTGTATTCTATAACGTAAATAACGATCAGAATTATACATAAATAGTTTTATTACAATTAAATAATTATTTCGAATTTAATAGCATTTTATTTACTTCTAACTTTCGTCTTATTGTTCGAAATCAATATCTGAAAACGCTTCAATTTTCAATATGATTTTTTTTCTTTAATGTGGATTGTATTAATGGGAAAAGGCAATACAACTCGTGGGCAATCTGCTAAGGGAAGGAGATGCCTCCCGTGAGGACTTCTATGGGAAACTGGTCACTATTTAGGTGTTAGGCACGTGAAAGAAACCCGGAAAAGTTCACGCGGCTAGCCAGTTGGTCAGGCGCGAATCCGTGACTAACTACTAACTCGCCACTCGAGTACTGTGGGCGAGTTTTGAATACGACAAATCTTATATATACGTATATTACTGAATAAAAAGAACAGTTTAATTCTGCCGGGTGAGGCGTAGTTTTCTTAAATGAAAAAATGTTGATATTGAATAAGACTGCCATTACCATAAAAAAAAACAAAACTAAAAATATAAAAACTGATAATGTCGTTAGTTTTAATTTTATTTGCTGATTTAGAAATAGAAAGGACAAATCCTTACGAATGTTGGTAGAAAATTCCTTCATTTGATTGGAAAATTTTGACGATTGAATAATTATTGAAATTATACTTCTATTTAGTTAATAAAATTAAAATTTAATACNTAGCTAAAATCATAATTACATGATTATTTTATGAAAAAATACTTTGGTTTATTAAATAATTTACTTTCTTAAAATTTAAGAAACTCCAAAAATCTCAAAATATGAATACTGTCAATTAAAAAGTGTGACTATAGTCATTTATATTATTGAACTTACTCCTTAAATATGTCTATTTACAAGTTAGTGAAATTAATATATCTGTCTATATGATTTAAATAAATATGAAAACTTACTAACTTGTGCTTCCGAAAACAATTAAATGTTACTGTAGATTATGTTGACTACGTGAGTAATTTATATACCTATCGATAGATGATACTTTTCCTGCTAAAACTTTCTGAATATCCTTTACATTAACTGTAATCTTTCTAAAAAACAAAAAATAAATCTTTAAAAATTAATTAATAATAATATTAACGTAAATGCAATGTTTGATAACAGTCTTTATTCTACATTATCGAGAGTTAATACAGTGGATCTAATTCGGTTAAATCTCTATCTTTGTCGAAGACAGGCTGACTTATTTTTCCATCTTGTCACATAAGGTTGTCGTTTGGTTAATGACAGCATGACATGTAGGAAACAATGGTAACATCAGTCAATGTTGAAGTCCCGACTTACATGCTACGATAATAATCTTGCTTCGGTATTATAGATAATCTTCATTGAATTTTGCAACAAGTTTCAAAGGACAATCGTTAGGATTTAGACTTTTTCAAATTAAATATCAACGGAATGTTCTGCTAATTGCCTTCATATTAAAATTGAAGGATGACTTTATATTAGCCGATGTATACGGCTTTACGATAAGTAGACTTGTTAGATCATAAAGTGACGTTCGAAAAATATAAATTCAATAATAATGATAATAAAATTAATAATTTAGATAAGGCTAATAAGTAAACATACAATTTTTTGTTTTTAAATCATATTTTTAATATTGTCCGCTAGCATAAATCGAGATTTATTGTTAATTCTGGAATGTATTTTGTATTGAGTTAAAATATTAATATAAACAAAAATTTCTTACAACGATAGGAATGCATCAAACACGCAGCATCCCCTCTCCCCGGTAGTGTTGTCGAGCGAGAAGTCATCATCGGATGCAGCTCCAAAGCGAGAATTGATACTGGCATTCAGATCGTGCCTCGGCTGTTAGTCATAGTGTAAAGAGTCAATCAATCAATCTTTATTATGAAAATGCTCGAAGCTTACTTATAACGTTCGAGCGCAGTTTAGATAGGAAAATGTTTGATTAATTCTGAAATATTAATTATCTGTACTGGAGCCATGGAAGCGATTAATTTCCTTCTAACCTTGAAATACATGTAAATTGTTCGTCATACGATATTCAGCAAGACAGGTTCTAATAAATAAAAAAAGTAGAAATATGAAAATGATATCTACTTATGTGTTTATATTAAAATAGTTTCTTAATTGACGTTTTTGTTTATAAAGAGATCGTTTTAAAAACTTTCAAAACCATTTCTCTGAAGAAAAAAATCGAATATTTGTCGATAAAAGTCCTTTTGAGTGAGTCTTATTTCATTAAGCAATTAATTGAGCTTTTGAATAAATTTTTAATTGTCGGTTCCAATTAGTTTATAGATTATTTAAAGGAAATGAAAATGATCTTCAAGATGGAACGCATTTAAGCATCACCTCTCTTTCCTCTCTCTTCTTTTTTTATAATTAGGTGTTCTATTTTAAAATTTCTCACTCAAACGCTCTGAGAAAAGCAACGATGTAGTGAAACTTCTATATATTTATATAAATATAAAATGCCTATTATCAGAAAGTAAAGATATGTTTCTAATCTTTGCCGTGATATACGTTATTGTGAACATAAG